AAAAGTAGCTATGTAATAGCGTTAAAATAAAGGCCTTGTATTGTATTAGTACAACGTCGATACACAGCACATTCTTATCGCATCCAATTATGTGCACCAAGAGTTACTAAAAGTAAACTTTCAGCGGAGACTTTTGTCAGTGGGCACTTGAGATGTTAAATCAAGATGATGATTTTTTTTAAACGGGTCATGTTCTCCGATGAGGCTACTTTTCATAAAAATGGTTTCGGTTTCGTTAATAGTCATAATTGCTATTATTATGACACAGTAAATCCTCACCAATTCCGGACAACTCATAGCCAACGATGGTCTTATTTGAACGTGTGGGGAGCAATTTTGGGAACCCATGTGATTGGACCATTCTTTTTTGACCAGCATCTAAATGGAGCAGTTTATTTAAACTTTTTAACAAACACTCTAGAAGATTTGTTAGGCGACATTCCTTTAGCTACACTTCGAAAAATATGGATGCAACATGATGGTGCTCCACCTCACAATACCGCTGCAGTTCATCAGTTTTTACACGAAACTTTTCCCAACAGATGGATTGGTCGTGGGGGACCAGTGAGTTGGCCTTCAAGGTGTCCAGATATGACAAGTTGCGACTTCTTTTTATGGGGATTTATAAAAAGCAAAGTTTACGTTACCACCAACTACCGTAGAAGATATGTGGCAGCGCATTATAGTAGCATTTCAAGAAATTACGCCAGACATGCTGACCAATGTTGAACAGTCTTTTAAAAACCGAATTCGTTTGTGTATTAATCAAAAGGGAGGACACTTCGAGCAATTGATATAAATCAGCGGTCTAAGTATTCTTCTCCTTATTGTGTTCCGAGTTTCAGTTTGTTTCGTTTTGCGTTTTGTTTTAGTTGTTGTTAGTGGTTTACTTTTGTTTGTCAAACCACTTTTTCAACATGCCAGTAAATATTGACACTGTCAGTCCCAGGCTTGATAAAATGTGAGAGAAAAATGGTTTTGCAAGGCCTTCATGACGCTGTTACATAGCTACTTTTTCGAACATTAGAAAAGAACCTGATTTTTCTGGAAAATTGTTAAAGATAGGGCATTCAATTTTGCGTTCACCCATGACAATTAATATGGGTCATTCCATTTGAAAAAAAAAAGTTTTTCAACTCGTAAGAATATTAAATGTAGGTCTCAGTATTTCCGAGTAGGAATAACGTACAAGTTTTGCTCACAGATGACAAGATAGAGTAATTTATGCCAAAACGAACTGTGAAAACTGCAGGTTCCTAACTCTTACGGTTTAGACACTATCTAGCCTCATTTAGAGAGTTGAAATAGTGATTTTTCTCAAAAACAACTGATTATTTCGAAAATTGTAAGTTTTAAACACCATGCACATTTAATAAACTCTACCTAATATTAACCATAGAATTCAAAAATGCGATAATATACAGGGTATTACATTTAAAATAACAAAGTTATGTAGTGCCCACGCGAAATGGAACACCCTGTAAAGCTAAAAATATTTTCTTTACATGGCCCACATGATTTCAGGCAATTTTTATTAAAACCAAAGTTACAGAAGAATCCCTCTTAGGTGGAACACCCTGTATATGAGAAGGCTATCTGCGATCCGGATAAAGTTCTTCATATGTTCTCTTAGCAGCGCGTCCACTAAAATATTCCTGTACATATACCACTATTATGTCTCACTTCATAATTTGTAAATTCATTGTGACGAGACATTTTCAGAAACAAACTCTTGCAAAATACAAATTTGACAGTGGCTTTTCGAAATTGTCATGTTATTATGGATACGTAGGTAGTTATTTCCAAAAAATATAGGGTATGTGTTAATAAATATTTTCTGTAATATCTTCATAACCGAGCATAATTTCGACTTTTGATGGGTATACATTTTTTGTGTAGAATAAAATTCTTTTCCTATTTCTGATAGTTGCGTGTAAAAATTTATACGTACAAAAAGGTTACAGAAGAATATTCACAAAGGGTTGTAGTAAAATGAACGCCATGTATGATTTAACCTAATGGAACCATAATCACTGCATACTTCATGAAGAGAAATTAAGCAACAATAAATTTTGCTCAAATCGGTTAACTGGGTTCTAAGGAGAAAACAAGAAATAAAAAAGAAACTTTTACACCCTGTAACTTTTTTGCGACATTTTTCGTTTAAGCAAGTTTTGTTACATCGATAACATTTGGGTTCTAGATTAGTATGTAACATTCGTTAGGTGAGATCCTGTACTTATATTACTAGGACAAAATTGTGTATAAACACAAACTTTTTGAAAAAAATGCTATTTTGAAACTGTCAATAGCGTTGATTTGATCAATGTGAATTGTTTATCTAGATTTCTGGTATCGAAAAACATGTTTGCTTTCATTTAATAAGATTTCTAGAAATACATTTTTTAATTTGTTTGAATTAGCACAATACCTTAATAAGATATTTAGTAAAAAGGGAAAATACTATAAACGTAAAATGTAAATAATTTCAGATGAAAATACTCATCTTGGAATAAGTTATCCATGAAAAAATAGTTTCTACTAAAAAAATGTGACAATCGCTCTTGAATTAATCCCACTTTGGTCAATTTCATAGTAATTTAAACAAAAAAAATTTTTTGTTTAAATTTAATCTAATTTTAATAAAAAAATAATAATAAAAAATTGAATTAAATAAAAATTAATCCTTTAAATTGAAAAGAGGGGAAAGGAAAATTATTATTATTATTATTTTTTTGTTTAAATTACTATGAAATTGACCAAAGTGGCATTAATTCAAGAGCGATTTTCTCAGAAACCGTTAAAGATAACGATTTGAAACAAGAGTACCTTTTTAACGTAAAACAGTTCGGGAAAACGGAATTTGCTGTCCAATTTGTTAAAAAGTCAAAGATGAAAAAGTTACACACGCAAAGTACCAAGGCCCCACCCCCCCGAACCCACCCCAATGGACCGTGTGGAAATAAATAAATGGATTAGTCCATCAAATTGCTCATCAAAATTTAGCTGTGTATACCAAATTTCATTCATTTATCACAACGCGATTGAGAGATATTGCAAAAAAATGATTTCCATTCCTCCCTCTTCAATGGGTCCCTGTGCCCTTAGGAAGCATTTCCGGACCCATGTTCATATGAACTTTTTTACTTAGTTTTGATCATAGAATCGGCCTGTTCAGGGTTGGCAGCTAATTATGAGACACCCTGTATAGCTTTAGTTACATAATCATTAATGAATCACATACAATTAACCTCATCTTTTGTTCATTTTAAATGTTAAAACACAATAAAAATGTGTGAGACCCGTTGGATGCTAACTTCACCATCGCTTTTTTATTATTGAGTGATTACCAGATCTGTGGTTTTTACCTTATTCTTACAATAATAGGTACACTCCACAAACGCAACAGTAGTTATAATTAAATGAATACAACCATTAAAATTAAAAATCATTGTTTAATTTGAAACAGAATATTAAAAAAAGCAAATGTGTTTATTTAATTTATTTATAATTCCATAAATGGTTCCTGTGCTTTAGGAAAAACAGGAATAATGAAAATCATTAATATTAATTTCACAGCAATTAATGTTTTTTTCATGAAATTTAATACAAACCGTCAAAGGGATGCAGAATGCGTAATTAAATTTTAAATAAAAAATCTTTTTTATCGGCGGTACCTATTTTTAATAAATAGCATTATTCATTATTTCAACTCTAATGGTTGGTTTATAAAAAAGTATTAGTCCTAACTTAGCCGTAACTTAACCTTAATCCTAGTCCTAAAAAGTTAAATGTACAAAATGTAATGTATAGAACTAGGGCAAGCTTAAGATTTTTATAAACCAATACATTACATTCTGTACATTTAACTTTTTAGGACTAAGATTAAGGTTAAGTTACGGCTAAGTTAGGACTAATACTTTTTTATAAACCAACCATAATAATACAAAGTTATTACATACTTTTTCGTTTTTAAATTCTGTTTACATCTGTTAAAATCTAAGAGTACTTAAATAAGTACACCTACTTTATATTAATAATTTTATCTTTTATTCGTTTAGCTTTTTGATGCTCAATGGCCAAGCCAAAGGTCGCAAACAAATTTCTTTAAAAATAAAAATGTATAATAACTAAATTCCAAATATTAGCACCTAAAAAACGTAGCAACATAGCATTTGCAGTTTTGATGAAGTCATATTTTTCAAGTATGCAAAAACCGAGTAAAAAGCAAATAGGTACATACATATTTACAATGCAAAAGAATAAGTTTTTTACATCGTAGGAGATAGCTGTAGATAGTCAATATCCACAGAGAACGCATGTTGTTCAAATTAAAACAACACTTTTTTAAATAATATGTATATTTTGAGTATTATTAGCAGACAAATCTACGATGACGCTGTGATGTTTGCAATAGCTGCTTCGGAACAGTACAGAAAGTGAGAAAAATATTTATTAAATTTTCACTTACCCAGCTCTTTCAAAAGGCAAAATCTGATGAGAACGTTGCTGCCTCACACCTGCACTTAATACTTTTCAAACAACGACAAGAAAAGCTATTATTTAGCATACAAACTCAAAACCATTAGTCTGAGTCAAAACCTTCTCATCCACATTTTCACTAATTCACTACTGTTTGTTTAGTGTTCCAAGCTGCGATTGTTTTCTGTTCTCTAAAAAGAACCACGTGATTTGATCAGAAGCGCAGCCTGCTTGTCAGCTTTTCGCAAATGCTGGTCTTGGAAAATAAATTCTGGATATTCACATTCCATACAAAACTGTACAAAACCTGATAAAAAGTATTTCATTTTACTACAGACGAAATAGCTATATTGTCTGTGATTTTATATAAGGCGTGATCTATGTATTTGTGTTATTAGATTAGGGGACACATGGATTATTCAAAGAATTCGCGGGTTAGTTTCAGACCATTTTAAAAAATAAAACGGATTGGCTTGAATTATAATTCATAATAACATTTTTTTTTATTACCTTCTTAGGGTCCGGACTTTCCGGGATACCCAGGCGACATCAACGGCTATCCCGGACTTTGGGACCCCCACCACTGTCTTGCAGGCCAAAATCCGGCCCTCGGTGGATACCCAGACATTTTAACAGCGTTCAACTCAGATTTAGGTACAAGAAAAGTATTTAATTATCTACGTACAAAAACAAAACCATTGTGATATAAACTTATTTTATAAGCTGTTTTAATTCAAATCTGCTTTTCGTAGTGTGGCAGAGACAGCAATGTGGAGGGCTCGTTGCTAACCGTTTGGGAAGGAACGGGACACCTAATGGGTCCCAAACGCCGAAAAAGACAAGAAGGAGGGTTGCCACAATTGCACAAAGGAGAGCGGCTAACATCAGGGAAAGGAGGAGGATGTTCAATTTGAACGAGGCCTTCGACAAGCTGAGAAGGAAGGTAAATCGGTGCCATGATCTGCTTTTAAAAACAGTACCATTTAGTGTTAGTACGAAAACGAGAGGGTCAGGCTCGAAATGAATATGAATAGACTTTGTACCACAATATAATATAAATCGGTAAGGGTAAAGACAAATATTTTTATAAGTAGGTTTTAAGGAGATAAAAAAAGAACTATGACTTTGAGCATGTCAGACATTTTGAAAAGAAATAGATCATATCTACTGTTCTGCGGGTCAATGAATGGGGCAGGATTTTTATGTTTTAAAAAATGTTTCTTTACACCTTTACATTCAAATTAAATATGAATATTAAATGTTGTTGTTAGTAGGTACTTTGTTTCATAGCGTATTCACAAACAACGGAAAACACGGATTGCAGAGTAGATGTAAACTAACACCGCCATGTTCAAAAGAAGTAGGATGGACATTTGCACAAAAATATTGTTAACCGTAACTGGTAACAATAATTGTTCTATGACCGTACTGATTCGTATTATACTGTATTTATATCTGTCAGTATATATCCTCCATCATATTCTATATAGTCCACGGGCCCACGTACAAAGAATAAAATGATTACCAGCAAGCTGTAACTTTGCGTGCAGCTTAAGTTTGACGAGTCTCCCAAGATTTGACTATGAGGAAAATTCAACAGTGGTAAATTTTCCCGTGATATTTTCAGGAAAACATGTCAATTTGGCATAAACATGGAATATTATGACCAGCACTTTTTTTAAAATTTAAATGAGATATTTTTTTTAAACCTCCCAAAAAATTTGTCCCACAAAAATGTTGGTATTTTGAGCTTGTCGATTTGGTGACATTATGGTTGGTGATAACCAACAAGCTGATTTTTCTGGGAGGGTTTGGTAATAAGATTTGAAATGAAAGTAGATCTTTGTCCGACAAAATTTTTGAGAAGTTTTTGCAGTCGGACGCCCCGAAGATGTCGACTTGACGATAACATGGTTGGTGATAACCAGCTGTCGGACAAAAGCGTCATTATTAAAAAAAATGCAATATTAATCTGAGAATTTAATTGTCCGACAAAATTATCGGTTTTTTTTTGCTTGTCCGGCAAAATTAAACTATAAAATTTTGCGGTTTCGATACTTACGCATAATGTATAAGAAAAATTTATATGTAATAAAAAAAATATATGAATAAAAAAAATTGTTTAAATTTCTCAAATTTCAAAATAAATATGACTAATTTAAATTTATTTTTTTATACAATTACAAAAAAATTGTATATAGGGTGGTCCCGAGCTAATAGGTCTCGAAGCAAAAATATTGCGATTTAGCCGCTTACCTTTAGTCCAAAAGTTGATAGTTAAAGAGATACAGGGTGTTAAATGTAAAATATTATTTTGTTCACATTTTGGTTAAAGTTCATAGAGGGCGCTAGCTGCAGTAGATTGAACAAGGACATTTAAATAAAGGGGACTAGGCATGTCACAGTCTATCTCATATGTTTGGTGAAGCTAGGCAAGGGGAAAGCAGAGGGCTTTATTTTCATCCAACTGATGCGCGCGATGACATCTCCAATGCCGTGCGTTTTGGAAGGGTCAAAATAAAATATTTTATAGTCCTAAGTCAATATATTTCAACAGCTACTCAGTATTTTTATAAAAAAGAGATTCAATTATAATTCTGAATTTATCTCAATATGTAAAATGATGTCCAAAATCAAGAAAAAGGTTTTTCCACTGTCGATACAATTAATAAAAGTTTTCCACAAAATTAATACCAACTGTAAGTGTAACGTATATATTTAATAACAAAATATTCATAATTAACATATAATTGTTAATTTTTTTATGGAATATATGCAAAGGGCATGCAAGTATATGAATAAGAAAAACACTTGATTCCAAAAAAATATTTATTATATTTAACATAACAATCAATGGTTACTGATTTTTAAAAAGAATTTGTTTTGTTAGAGAACTTCTAACTCGATCAGTTTTTTTATCTAATTTTTTTACCGTCTCATGATGAATCCTAATGGTAAAATATTTTTTCAAAATTAACTTCATTAAAATTGTAGCATGACCTGTAAGAGGCTCTTCATCATAGAAATGTTCACCAAAACCATTATATACAGTACAAGGTAGATTTGACAATGTATTATTAATTAGAATTGGCAACAACTGATTTACTTTTTTATTAAATATGCCAGCAGTTTTATTAAAAAATCGAAAATAGTGTTCACCTGCCTTACAAACACTGATTACAAACAGAGATGGTCTTGTTAACTGTTTATATTCCTTTCTTGTCAAGAGAATGGAATATGAAACATCACTTTCAATTGTACTTAAACATTTTAAACATGTTAAGATATTTTTTAGTTGTCTCACAACAAATCCAGAGATGTATGAAACTACATCTTGGACATAATCCGTTAAATTCCAAGCAGCAGAATTCAAATAATTTTCTTTAGAAATTTGCTCTTTAATATTATTTTCAAAGTTTATGTTGTCGAGGGAATTCTGCAAATCAATATTATCGTCATTTGTTGTCAACTTTGAGCTGACACTACTGCACACCAGTATCGAAGTTGCATCTAAATTAATGGCATTACCGGTGTCTCCGGCTTTTATCTGGGAATGTATTAATAACCTTTTAAAAGCCGCTTCAAACTGTTTTGCAGTAGGATTATTATTAAAGCCACCTCGACTACGTATGGCACCAAAAAAAAGTTCAAGATGATCCTGTGATAATTTGTATGTTAATATATATTTCATGTTCATTTGTACTTGAACGTGTTCTTCAAATAAGCCTTTTAAACTTTCGATACATATCAAAAACCCTAAAAATCCTGTTTTTCTTGCAGATTTTATAATTAACTCATTATTTAACTTAATACCATGAATGTAATTTTTAATAGTATTCAAATATTGAAAAAAGTGCTCATATGTGTTTAATGATAGTGGTTTTTTATACTCATATTTAACTAATCTTGTTTTTGAATTAAATATATCAAAAAGATCATTAAAAATTATTACAAATTGTGCAGTTGCTTCTGCATGTTGAAATAATGGATGTTTACAGTCTTGGCATAAATATAGTAGTGCATCAGAAACACTTTTACTTAAGGTCTGGGTGGCGAGTCTTACTTTCATTTTCTCTTTCATCCATAACAGATGTCTACGTTTCAATTTAGTTCCTGCGTGAAGTTTTTGCGAATATTGATAATCAACCTAATTTTCAATAAATGACCAATTAATTTGTTTACCATCACTGTCCTCTAAATTTTTTTGTGATCCAAAACAATTCCTGATAAGCTTTATCATAGGGCAAGGATTGGGAAATATAAAAACTTTTTCTTTAGTAACTGGATGTAAAAAAAATGTTGTCAATGTTGCAGTATCCCTGAAATTTGCTCCTAACCGACAAGCCATGCTAAAATTGGTGGGAGCTCCGTCAAAAGTAAGAGATGTTACTTCTACCCCACTGCTGTTTATAAATTCCAAACCGTTCATAACTAAAGCTGCCTTTTCTTCGGCATTCAATCCATCTAACAAAAAATATCCTACTGGGATTTTCCAACAGCCATTTAAACAAACAAGCATAAATACCAGTGCCTCTTGCTTCTGGTAGGGAATCGCTATGTACATTTGTGCCTACGTCAACATATCCAAAAAATTTGTTACCGTCCCATTCTATCTGCTTACGAATAGACATTTCATCAAGAACAAGATTACAAAATATTTTACACCCTTTTTCCTGTCCTTCTTTAACTTTTACTTTTAATACATTCAACGCCTCATTGCTCCACCCAGGTGCACCATCAACAGTTTTATACCATTTAGAAATTGTGGTCGGATGTGGAAGAGAACGATTAAAATAATCTCTCACAAAATTATATGCTCTCGGCGAATAAAAGTTTAAAGTAAGCGCAAAAGATCTCAAGGCTGGACTATATTTTTGTTTACTGGGACCTTTCAGCAATTTTTCAAACAATTCTCCCGTAGCTCCAGGAAGTGACGCCTGAAAACATACATAGTAACTATAAAAAATTTCTGTCATTAATTAAAAATTAACTAATTAATTACTGTAATTCATTTGAAATTGTAAAAATGTTAGGTAAAATGTCCTTGGTTAGGTATAAGATTCTAATGCAAAGTTAAATATTACACTGACCACTGAAAAAACACTGCAACTTTAAAATATGATCCTAAAAAGTTTCGCTCAGAATAATTTTCAATCAGCTGTTCAATTTCAAAAAAATAAACCATATACATTCTGTTAACTTAAAAAATGGAAAATGTATACTTACCATTAAAGCTGTCTCTGCATTGTCCGTGATCATTGCCTTCTTCTTTAAAACTTCTATTAAAGAATGAAGGGTCCTTACCCTTGTCCGAAGTCTTCTAACAGACTGTTGTAAGATTTTAATTTTTTTCTTCTGTTTCAAAACGGTATCCTTTTTAGATGGTTGTACTTTTGGAACAACTACAGACAGTATTCCTCTACAACTAGTTTGACGGCCAGTAGCAGTATCAGCAGTAGTTTCTGTATCTACTCCCGGTAACATCTTGATAATTTCATCTTGGGTTTCAGACGCAGTAGATGTGCTAGATGTTTCCCCTTTTAAAAAGTCAATGTTTTCTTTATTATCATCGTAAATAATTACTTCCTGATCGGGCTCTAAATCTGCTTTAAATCTGAAAACACAATTTGAATAACATTTTTAAAAATGTGTATTTTTTGCATTAGCAGTTCACAAACTATTTAATATACAACTAATTACTATTTAATATATCAAATGTTAACCTCCCAAATGATTATTTCTCTCCTAGTTATCTGTATAGAAAGTACACTTTGCAATTATTACTCTCAAAAATTAGGCCGAGTAATCTCTAAAAATTTACACTTACCGTTTTGGTGATGGTGTCTCTGCAGACGATGATGATGAACTGAAACAAATATTTTGGTTAATATTGTCTACAAGTTGTTTGTGGCGGAACTCTGTAATTTATGAAATTCGTGTGGGAATACGCCACCTTTAAAAATAAAAGGGAAATATAAATACTACATAATTTTTGCTATACAGATTTCGTTTCTTTCCTTTTTATTTTTACAGGTGGCGTATTTCCAGATGAACTTCATGAATGAAATATTTTAGTTGTAAATCAAATGTATTGACAAAACGATTCAAGTAATGTTAATACTGTTAGGTACTTAATTTGATATTTACATAAAATAATATTTTATTCTTAAAGTAACATAACCATTGTTTTTCTTATTTATTCCTTCCTAGGACCCGATTTACAAATTACTTGTTCCAAGTTTTAACTTATGTATATTTATATTGAGCAAGGCAATGAAAATGCAGTAACAACCCACAGTCACTGTATAAACATCAGTTACATAAACAAATTGTATTCTTTGCCTAGTTAAATAAGTACTTAAATAACACAAAATCCACCTGTAAAGGACAAAAGTGGCTTATTCATAATTATTTAATGATAAAAGCAAAGTACCTACCTCATTTGTTGAGTAGACTGGCCTGCTCTAGGTAATGCATCTTTTTTCAGATATCTTTTGCCCGAAGGTTTGATATCAAAATCAGTTTGATTAAAGTGTTCCGAGCAAATATCTGCCCGAATGGGCAATGTTGTAAATCCTTGGAATTCCAATAATTCTAACCATTTTTTTCTCATTGCACCATCCCCAGGCATCCTAAAAACATTCGCATTTCACTTTTAGAACACTGAGGCAAATTTTCAGTGAGACAAAAATATATTCCCAAAGGAGAACATCAATATGTTGAAAAAATGCAACTTTCACTTGATTGCATCTTCGGTATTTTTATGTATAAATGAACCCACCAGCATATTTTTGCTATTATATTTATTCAGTTTTTGTGCTCGTGCATTTAGTAAAATTGTAAATATATTTTTGAAAAGGTTTTTGTCGTAGAGGAAATTAAAAATGATGAATGATTCATTTTAATTCAATTCATTTTAATGGCCAAACATAGTTCATATTATTGTTTTCTCACTATCTCAGCAAAAATTTTTAAAAAATACCAAAAGTCAGTTTTATAAAATTTTTCCCTTATTCAAATAAAAGTTACCTACAAGCACGACAATGGCCAGAGTTGCATATACATTCCAAAGTCACCTTCAAGCACGCTTACCTGTGGAAGGATAGATGTGGATGTTTATAATCCAATTTTTTACAAATTCTGCACTGTCTAACCATATTAACTGTATTAACACCTTAAAAGTTTATCCAAAATACACACACGTTTCACTTAATAAATATCAAAACTATTCTCTAACAACAGACGCCATATTCTGCCAACCACGGCAGAACGGAACACGGAACACGCTACAAATTATGGCGTAGTTGCCAAGTCTTCAAACATGACAAATATGAACAATGAAAAATAGTTTAATATGTACAGAATTTAACAATATTGTATGCATAACTTAATAATACTATCCTATAATAATAATTTTCACAATTGTGATGAAAATTGCAATAAAAATATTAAGTACATTTCCAGTACAATTATACAGCTGACAACAATGATACAATTAGACTGTGAATAGATCAGGCTTCATCTAGAAATGTAAATAAATAAGTCCCCTTTATTTAAATGTCCTTGAGATTGAATGTGTTAAAAACGACATAACTTTTTATACTTTAAGGTATCTCATCTTTGGTATCAAATTCTTATTTTCCAACTTTTTTTTGCACAAAAAGCTACACTTGATAAAACTAGCTGTCTCGCACCGTTTTCGAGATATTTGACTTTGAAACTTCCAATGCTGTTGAATTAAATTACAATGAAGTACCTACCTATTATTAATTTAGCGGTGAAGTTTCTTAAGTTTGGACAAAAATCAAATAATTGACATATTCCACTTCTTATTATTGCTGTCATTTGTATGCCACTGTCCATTAAGTATTATTCCTACCTAAAATTACATCTTAATTTAAATTGTATGTACATAAATGTGAGATGGAATGCCGAGACTTCCGTTTTTGGGGTTACATGAAATCAGTTATTTATGGAGAAACTATAAACACCTGTTAAGAACTTTAGCAGCAGGTATTAAATGCTGCAAAGTCATTTCGCATTAAGGATTTATACTTTAGAACAAGGCAATCTTTTAATAAACGCGTTGATAAATGTATAATAATATTTTTAAAATTGGTTTAATTGATTTTTCAAGAACAAAACTATGTGTAAACTGTTTGTCAAAACAAAATTGCAAATTTTAATTTAAAAACAAGCAAAAATTTATGCATTCATTGTACAGTTACCATTTTTTTATAAAATAGTTACAATAGTTTATAAAATAAAATGTACATATAAGTTTTTTGAACAAAGAAATCATTTTGATGGAGATTAATTAAATTAGTTACCTAGACATAATTATTTATGCATTTCAATTTTTGTTGCTCCTGTTAACAGGATAATTTTCTTATTTATTCTTTATTTTTTCATTAAAAAATTAATTATTTTATAGCGGAATGAACATTAGGTACCTCAAAAATAGTTATTTTTCCCATTTTTAAGGCAAATTTTCCAATCTTTTTGGTGGACAAGTATATTATTGTGTTATACATTTCAATTATTAGAGAAAAAAATCAAAATCAGATTGCTGGTTATCACCAACCATGTTGTCGTTAAGTCGACATCTTCGGACTGCAAAAACTTCTCAAGAATTTTATCGGATAATAAGATACTTTCATTTCAAATCTTATTACCAAACCCTCCCAGAAAAATAAGCTTGCTGGTCGTCACCAACCATCATGTCACCAAATCGACATATTTGGGGTGGGGGGACAAACTCAAAATACCTACCAACATTTTTGTCGGACAAATTTTTTGAGGGGTTTAAAAAAATATATCTCATTTAAACTTAAAAAAAAGTGCTGGTCATAACATTCCATGTTTATGCCAGATTGACATGTTTTCCTGAAAATCACGGGAAAACTTACCACTGTTTGAATTTTCCTCGTAGTCAAATCTTGGGAGACTCGTCAAACTTAAGATGCACGCAAAGTTACAGCTTGCTGGTAATAATTTTTTCCTTTGTACGTGGGCCTGTGGACTAATAGATAATAGTGGCAATTATCCTTCATAACGTTCACTCTTTTATATTTACGCTTAATGCTACCTAAGTGTGGTCCTGATTAACAATATGTATAAAGCAAAAATTATCAATCGAATCCCAAATTGGACATTTAAAATCCACACCAGATTTCTATTTATTTTTTAGGTACCTACATTTGCCTACGAGAAACGACTCTCCCGCATCGAAACACTTCGCCTGGCGATAACCTACATCAGCTTCATGACGGAGCTTTTGCACGGACACCCTGCAGATCACAAGAATTCCGACATCTACCCTCAGAGGGAGTACATACCTTACGGCCTTATAAATTAAGGAATATCATCAAAAGTTGTATTTTTGCGACCATTCCTCAACAATGAAAAGAAATGTGACGTGAATAGTCCATTCACGATTACTTTAGATTAAGCATGGCCAGACTAATTCTGTTTGAGTATTTTAAATTCTTTTGTTGAAGTTGAGAACCAACGTAGGCGTTATTCGACAACTTTATTCTGCCAGTTGTGACTTAGATATGATTTGCAATTTACAGCGATAACCCGGTCAACTTTGATGTGATCAAATTTGTTTAATGAAATTATTTAATATGCTTTATATTTTCTGTGATATTTCTAGTTTTTAAGCAATAATTAGTGTAATAATTAAGTCTACCAACAAACTAGTCAGTTTACAGTTGTGCTCAAAATTGTCTTCCATTTATAAAAAAAATCTGTAAGAAAAAGACGGAAAGAAATTTATTATATATTTTCTTCTCTTTTTAAGAGTAGTGTATATAAAAACACAATGTTTTTCATTTATTTATTGAAATGTACTTAAATTATTGACAATATTGTAACCAATATGTTTTATTTGTAATATATTTTAAATTAAATACAAAAACCTTATATAATAAAATAAACATTAATCCATACGTGTCTTCAAGTTCTTAATGGTCACCTTATCCTTTTCACTGAAAAAGAAAATATTTCAAATTTTTTATAAAAATTGTTAATATTTTTTTAAAGCACTGTGTTTAGTTTGTCAATCTCAGCATTAATGATAATATATGTTTTTTTCTAAAGATTAAAGTTAGTATCCACATAAATATGACTCATTCAAACTTACATCCTGTATATTACTTACATGATGTATACAGTCGCTCCCCAACCAGATATCGCATCTCTGTCAAAAGCATTGATAAGGGCTTGTGAAGTAGTTTCGAAAAGATCGTCCGGCCCCAAGTTGGGCTCCCAAAGTGCTTCACACATACCGTACAATTGCGCAGAAGCCGTACCGCCCACGACAAAATCATTGGGTAGATTAATGCACCCGATCAAGTCCATATTACAAATAAAAGGCTCGTGAGTTTTAGGATCCAACCCCGCTACTACAGGCTCGACGAAAAAGGGACCGAATCGCTTCTCATATAGCATATTGGACAACATTGCACTGAATACTTTAGGGGACATTTGCCTGTTCTCTTTCAGTTCATAGAGGTTCTTTCTAAACCGGAGCTTTTCCATGACGGTTTGTGTGTCTGTGGCTAAGCCAGGAAGGCCCACGTAAAGGTGTGAGCCCATCTGGAAGATTTTTTGGAAATTGGTCGCTACAGTTTGAGCTTGAATGCCAAACCGTCTGTCAGCCGCTATCGACACACAGTTCTCTCCCTTCATAGCCACCATGGCACCCCCGTTATACGCAAGAATTGACTAGAAATGAAAATACATATTTATATTGTTCTGTACACTATAATCTTAAGCATGTGTAAAATAATGTCTCTAAGATGAACAAATATTTTATTTCTTTTATTCTTTGTAAGAAAAAAACAACCGTTTGGTGAAGTTAATAATAATAAATAATACCGCTTTGTCATTAAATATAACCTACAAGGTTTATACTAGCAGGTGAAGAGAAAATTTAAAACATGTAGTGTCAATTTTTGTTACATTAAATTATACTTACCATTATTTTTAAAAAATTTAGTCAGTACTACAACAGTAAAGTTAAATTACTATGTTCTACAACACATCAAAATCCAAAATTCCAAAACCGAACACTCACTGAATGACAGCAACAAATTGATGCTATTAAAATTGTTCGTGAGATGTCGCGTCGCATGCCTCATTTATAGCGTTTTCGACGTATTTGCAATTTGCATTGTAATTTTACACTTAGTGGAAAATGAGAATATTTCTGTCTCTTATTATTCGAATTAATAGCAATGGTTTTGTAAACTAGTCTCGTTATTGGTTTTTGTACTATAGTGGCTTTATTAAGATACTGTGGTTCTGTATATAAGGTTGATTGTTTAGGACGATGATATATCAATATAACCTGAGTAAATAGCACAGATTACGGAAACAAGTAAGGCCGGTGTCCCATGCATCCGAATTCCGACGATACGAAGGTCCGAAAGTGTTCCTATTGGTTAATATACATTCAAATTTTTACCGCTCATTTTCATCCGAAATTTTTAAAATTCATAGGACGTCGGAAAAAGTAGAAATCGTATGTTTTTTAACCTCACTTTTTAAGTTTTTAACATGCTATGATTGTTGTTTGGTATATTTACAGTCAAATAAATGTTATAATGTCGAATGTAGAAAATATAATATTACGTATATTTTCTATAATATATACCTATGGTTGTCATTTGAAAATGTTTCATCTTCATCTTGTAATAAACTCCATGGTTCCATACTTGATTTCTATGAGATTAATTTCGGATGTATGTGAATTATAATATTATCATTCGTACGAATTAAAATATTTTCGGATATCGTACATCGGATTTCGGATGCATGGGACACCGGCCTAATTTGTGGTAAATAGTGCATGTATGTCAAAAACGTTTTTAGTTGAAATGAATTTAGGGATTTTAATGTTACCAATAACTATTTTAAAATCACCGAAATAAACTTTACAACGACCAATTTAAATATCCGATAAGTAGAAATATTAAAATTCTATTTGTAATACCCGATATTAAAATGAAGAAACATAATATCCCTTAAAGAGCGGGCACATTTATTTAATATTCATAACAACCTGTTCCAGCTTACTAAATTCAAAAGGATATCAGTTGGTACCATTGATGTCACGTGTTTTCAAAATTTTTGGCACTATAATTTTAAAAAGTTACTGTTCCAACATCTCAACAGAAATGTATCAAGGAATTGTTCCAAAAAGCTTAGAGGACACTATTTTATCCTACTTGAAGGATCAGGAAATATGCGGGGAGAGTGTAACTGATTTTGTTTGTGAAGTGAAACATGTTACAGCCAAGGAAGAAATTGGAGGTATTCTGCACGAACTACTGTTGAAAATTGACAAACGGGTCGCATGTAGGGATAGGTATGATAATCTGAAGCTTTGGCACCATCAGTATCCCTTGTTCGATTTGAGCCATACTGTACCAAATTTTTGTATAGGTAAGTCAAGTTCAATTGCATGTGAAGGAATTTGATTAAATTTATAGAAAAAATATGACTGTTAAATATTTATTCAGTATATAAGGCAGTACCAAAAAAATAAAACAGAATATACATATCACTTCATTCCTTAGATATTAATGACTATAAAAGTTGTCTATGTACAGAAAAATAAAATCAACACTTAAATATACAGAATGTCACAACCAAGACGTTTTGGGAGAGCTACTAGAGAGGCTTAAAGCATAGAAAACGTTAGCTGGGCATTTTGTATATGACTTTATAAATAAAAATTTGATAATATACACATTCAACTCGATTACGTTATCAAAACATTAACAGATTAACTATATTAATAATCACTTGTATATCTTTATTTATTTTCTGTTTACGATAATTTTATAATCTAGCTATTATTTGTATAGTAGTTGCTTAACTTTTTTTTATTAATAATGCAAAATACTCCAAATATTTCATAATATTGTCTGCGCAGATGATGAGATGTTCAAAAAGTTGGCATTCAGGGAACCCTTACTGATTAGCGAACTGGATTACCCTTCTGATACTGTGGAACCGAAGGCGGTCGGGGGCCTATGTCTGGACATACAGGTTGTGGAGGGGCACTTACCTGAGACAAGGTACCTTCCGACGGACGCCGAGCTGGACATTCAGGTGTTCCAAACCCTGCAGAGGATAAAAGCGGGTAGGAATTGCAAGGTCTATCCACGTTTCGCAAAATTTATAAAATTAATCACGCGATCTGCTGTATTATTTTCTACGTGATAGTTAACGTTTATATTGCATTGCAAAGCGTGAGGATTGGACGCTAATTTTTGTTGTTAAATATTTATCGGCCCCCGAAAAGACAAACATTTTTTTCAGCAACCGAAGGGAAGCCCGCAGAAATGAGCAATATAGAAAAAGATGTCCATGATAAGTTGAAGGAGTACGAGAACTTCCTGAAGGAAGAGATGCGTAACAACGTGAAAAAATTCCTTGTTCACTTTTCCTCCCAGTTCGACGTGGAGGGTTGTAATGCAGGTTCTAACATCACCGCGTGGGTGGATAGGTACCTTCACACTCTGGAAGAAAAACGTGAAGAGTAAGTATAACAAGAACTAAGGCTGTTTTTTCTATATTTTCAAACGTTCTAATCTAATAGTTTGATTTTATAAAGCAAGCCACGACAGACGTAAAACAATTGATTAACTTTGTGCATTTGTTTTAATCCTGCCATCACCAACTTTGACTAAATTAACAAATACCTACAAAAAATGTTTCCTTGTAGGTTTTTACTTCAAACTAATGGCGACATTAACGAGAAAACCATCTATGCGGCCATACAGAACCAGAAGTACTACATGCGTCACACCAGCGTCCTCGAAAATTTAGAAATCAGGAAGTACTATCCGTTTTTCGTAACCAAAAACTTGGTATTAGAGGGTGCGAGCTTTATTCTCATGCGATATCTGGCCATTACACAGTTCGCGGGCACCATCGAGTTATCCACGATGTACATTAATGGAGAAATGTGTAGAAATATTTATGTAAGTTCGTGAAAATTCGGAAAACGAAAATTTTGAAAACTTTTTTTGTAGGAGTGCATCGGACCTAAACCGGGCGAAGTTAACGGAAAAAAAATCGACGTCTGCAAGATCTACAGATACGTCATCGAGGAATGCGGCATAGAACACAATAGCGTCACGGTCCTCACTACGTACGGTAAGTCCCCAAATCCTAACTAATATATTTTACCTATTACGTTAATGTTATCTAATTCTATCTGAATTTTTTTAGGGCGGATTATAACGCAGGAATGGGAAGGGTGTAATTACATACTAAACATGAACCCGTTGCAGTACGTGGGCGAAGAAGAGCCGCCATCGTACGACAGGCTAGTTATGTCGAAAATTTGGATGGACGACATGCAGTTGATGTCCAAATATCTGGATTGCAAGGTCGGTGTTTGCACGCTTGTTAACGTTAAATTATTATCTGAATAGCCATTGCTACCCCAATTTTTTTCAATAATTCATTATAATCAACCAATCTATCAGAGGGAAACAAAACTAAAAATATGACCACCAATTTTTTTCCCATTTTTTTGTCCTTTTTTAATGTTAAAAAATTAATTTTGTTAAGTCAGAACTATCAATTTATGAAACGGCAACATCGTAAATTTCACTTGTTTTGAAGTTTTGCTAAAAATTCCACAGCTATCCTCGCAAGAAATTACATGATTTTAGGTGATTACACAAAAAATAGTAGATAACTTAACAACTAGAAGAGATAGGTATAGGGAACCCTGATATCGTTCGAAAAACATACAGGGTGTTCTATTTAAAAAAACCAACTTATGAAGGTTTGAAATTAACTAAACTCGGCACTAAATTTCTAGCGCCCTGTATGCAATTAAGCCACTATGAAAGTATGGATGGGAAGCTTAGGGGTCCAGCTATCCCCCCTATAAATATTGTTGCTTTATCTTTCTTACTATAAAATACACATGGTTTGAAACTAGTCACTGTTTCTCTCCATTTTTTCTGAAAAAATTAAAAATCTCGAAAACGGTTAATTTTAGGAATAGTGAAACTTCATAAAAGTCCTCCAAAAATAACATGTAGAATCCAAAATTGCAATAATATATAGGGTGTTCCATTTAAAATAAGCAAGTTGGTGGCGACTTCTGGTATAACCAGAAGTGGCATGTGGACGCCATTATTTTAGTAGAGAAGGGCATGCCCGAAAACCCAAATTTTCAAAATTCAAATCGAAGTAGTCTCTGAAATAATTCTAATGGGCCGTCACCGTGAGACACCCTGTATGTCCATATAACATCCCCTGTGCTTTTAATTTCTGAAGGTGCCAAGTAAGTAACAATAACCTATATTACAATTGTAAAGTCTACGGATTCTTGTAAGAACTGAATGGCAAATACAAGAATTGTCAATGTACCTACTATAGTTTTTCCGAAATCAATTGAAGAACCAATATCTTCAAGGTATGTAGCAGGCTTGGTCGCTAAGCAGCAACTCCGCATTGAAATATTTGAAAAACTTGTTCCCACATTTATTTAGCCATACCCATAATCAGATCTGGTCGAACGAAAAGTGCAGGTGGTAGAAATGCATACACTCAGTTGAAGAATGAGCGTGCGGGCAAAGAGCAATGCGCACTGTTTCTCTGGTCCATTGCATTGTCAAAATTCAGTTGTCGACTAGTCGCCTAGCAGTGCAGTGCGGGAATGCGGAATTTGGTGTGATTCAGATAATTTTAATTTATTATAGGTACCCTTCTATTAATCATTCACATTACAATTGTGAAAGGGAAAAATAAGAGGGATATTTGGTTTACAACATGGCATTCTGGAGACCTTTTGAAACGGAACAAAACAAAATTTACCATCAATATAATAAAATTGTTTGAGGACATAAATAATTAAAATATGTTGTTGGTCAAATGAACATATAATAGAAATTTTCTACACATTATATACAAATCATTATAATTTTCTACCTTTAGCAGAAAACTTTTTTAGGGACACCCATGAAACTCATTAAATTTGATTGCTCGGTTTTTTTGTGCATGTTCAACTGACTTAGGAAGAACTATACCAATATGTGAATTCAAAATGCACTTGTGGTATAAATTCGGGTATATTGTACTATGTGGCTTAGCTTCAGTTTAGTCGTTAGGACAGGCAACACGTACTTTCTATCACCAATTATGTAGGTGTGCCTTATCGATCAAAAATGACGATTGCTATAATGTACTGATTGTAGCGTGTTGTAAAAATGTGCGTGCTATATAATAATTTTTTTTAAGTTTTGTTTATAATATTGTTATTCATAGCGATAGAAAGGTTTCAAACAAGTAATTTTAAATAAGATGTTGCTGAAATTAATGGTTCTGTCATTTTAGAATTCCTGAAACATTTCAAAAAATTAATAGGGACAATCTAAAACCTCCGTATTAGTCCAATCAATAGGTAGAAGACCTTAGAAAAAATACCACCTGGAAACAAAAAATATGGTAAAATAGGAAAAAAAATTCTAAGAAAGATAGTGTATTTTTCCTGTGGCGCATACATGGGGAAGTTATCCTAAAAAATTCATAAAAGTAAAAAAAAACGGTTTTTCGCTAATAAAAACAATAATAATAATAATAATAACAATAATAATAGGGAAGGTACTGGAGTCCCATAATACGGGAGGCTATCCAGCTAAAGTTGAGATTTCGGGAGAATTTCAACATGTAATAAATAATGAGCAATCGTTAATAATAATTGTAACAATTTTGTCTTAGAGAAATATACGCCCCTGAGCGTAAGACAATGAAGGCTAAACATATACAGAATTATTATCATGAAACATCTATATTTTAC